GTATACCTGATGGTCATCTGAATTATATTCACCCATTCCTGTCCATTTTAGTTCACTGATTCCTAAGATGTCAGTGTTCAGTCTTGTCATCTCTTGTTTGACCACATCCAGCTTGCCTTGATTCATGGATCTTACATTCGAGGTTCCTATGGAATATAGATCTTTGCAGCATCGGACTCTCCTTTCACCACCAGATACATCAGCAACTGAGTCCTTTCGGCTTTGACCCAGTCGCTTCATTCTTTCTGGCGCTACTAGTACTAGCCCTCTGCTCTTCCCCAGTAGCATATTGGACACCTTCCGACCTGAGGGGCTCATCTTCTGGCGACCTATCTCTTTGCCCTTTATAACTGTCCATGGGGTTTTCATGGCAAGGTACTGGAGTGGGTTGCCATTTCCTTCTCTAGTGGATCACCTTTTGTGAGAGCTCTCTGCTATGACCTGTCCGTCTTGGGTGCCCCTGCACGGCACTGCTCATAGCTTCATTGAGCTACGCAAGCCCCTTTGCCACGACAAGGCAGTGATCCATGAAGGAGTACTCTGAACATAGTCAAAAACAAAACCTGTGGTGCTTTTATTTTTTTATTTTCCAATTTATATCCTGCCTTTTTCCTACAAAGGGCTCAAGGCAGCTTACATCTCCTCCTCCATCTTATCCCCACAACAACCCTGTGAGGTAGGTTGGGCTGAGAGTCTGTGACTGGCCCAAAGTCACTCAGTTGGCTCCATGGTGAGCGGGGACTAGAACCCAGATCGTCTGAGTCCCAGTCCCATGCTCTTAACCACTACACCACACTGGCTCTCACACTGGCTTTTCACACAAGACTCAGTTTGTTCTGGTCCTTAGCCTTCCTGACACCAAGCTTATGGGTTCAGGCAGTAATAGTAAGGGTATGGTTCTACTGAGATTGATTGATTATTTATTTATTTAAAACATTTCTATGCCACCCCATTTGCAAAAAGCCTCGGGATGATCCTAAGAGATGATCCTAAGCCCCAGAAATTGGAGAGTCATTCTCATCCTCCGCAGGGTGGGTGAAGCAGCAGAGACATGCTTTGAATCCCCATCCTGCCACCTTGCATTTTCACTGGGATGTGTCACTGACACAAGATGCCATGCAGAAATTTTACTGTTGCGGATCCAGACTGTTCAGTTTCGTGAAAATACAGAGAATGCATCATCTGTTCTAAGGTTTCCATGCTTCATTCCAGCTTCTCTGGTCATCTGAAACCAGGACCACCATTTTAGTATTGCTGGTACTGGAACACCACAGAGTTTCCTGGCAAGAGCAGCCACAGAAAGATCCCCTCCTGTCCTTCAACCTTTATCACCCTCAGCCCCTTTCTTTATTCCCATTTGGCTGAGTGATGTGTCCAACTCTCTGTTTACTTTTGAAAACAGGCAGACAGCACAAAATACATGGAGGAAAAAGGAGGAAATCACAGGGAGTTTATTTTCATTTACTAGAAATCTCTTTAGCAGCTAGAACATCTGGGAAGTGTCACACATGCTGGTACAATTGGGAGTGAGAGAGGGGGAAACTGTCTCAGGACCAATCAGGAGGTTGCTGTGATCTATAGGAAAGAATAGGGAAAAGATGGGGAATTTCCTTGAGGAGGTTGCTGGAATGCATGGCAAGGACCAGAGGACAGAGCCAGGAGTGTGGAACCCATGGGCTCATCTGACTGGTAAGTTTAGCTAAGCAAAAATTCATGTGATGTGGAAACACTCCACAGCTGTTGCATCAACCGAGCTGCTCAGCGGCTTTTTTTTTGCTGGAGAGGCATTAGAATAGTTCCTACCATGGCCTGTTCAGTCTTTTCCCCTTCAAGTACATTCACACACCCCCTTTTACCCCTCTCTGGAGGTTGGATCATGTTTCCAACTTTGCAGAGGCAGCCAGTATGGCTCTTTCTATGCCAGCTTAAGGTAGAAAGAAGTTGGAGTGCCAGTTCTCAGCCCCAAGGTCAAAGCACTGTCTCTGACCCTGGACTCAGGAATTTAAGGGCCATAGGACAGCTCCCTAAGGGTGCAATACCAGGCAAATTCAGAAAGAAAAATGGCCTGCAACTCTCAGCATGCCCCAGCCAGCATAGCTAGCACACTAAAGTTGCTAAGGATTGCAGCTTAGTTCATTTAAGATAAGAGAAATATGCCCTGTGGTACAAGGCACTGACCCAGCTACAGAGGGTTTAGCATAACCTCAGCAAGTTTTCTGTAAGTTAGAAACTCTGAAGCATGAAAATGTGGTACATATGAACATCCTGAAGAACCAGAGAGGATACTGTGGCCGCTCTGCCCTATATACCCAATACAAATATTATCCTGAACCTCTATGAACAAAACTAGCATACCTCCTGCTGCTACATACTAGGGGACTAATAGGAGGAAATGTCTGTCCTCTTTAAGCTCTACCTGTGACCTTTCCAAGGCATTTGAATGTTTGCTTTTAGAAGAAGCAGGGCTAGATGGACGTGAAGTTGTTTTAGGAGGTGAGAAGTCCACATGACTCCCCTCAACCATGACCTCACCGTTTTCCTCTCAGCTAAGTTAGGCAAGCCATTCTAAGTCTCACCCCCATCCCAACCCAAATCCAAAATGAGGGACCAATAATATTTGCCTACAAAAGTACTATATGTATGTTGTATGCCATCAAGTTGTCTCTATTAATTAACCCTATTAATGAAAGTCCTCCAAAACGTCCTATCGATGACAGCTCAGCTTTTCTACATTCAAGGCTGTGGCTTCCTTTATGGGTTCAATCTATCTCATATTTGGTCATCCATTTTATCTTCCGCCTTCAGCTTTCCCTAACACGATTGGGTTTTTTTCAGCGAGTTTTGTCTTGTTAAGATGTGCCCAAAGAATGATAGCCTCAGTTATGTCAGTTTTGCTACTAAGGAAAGTTCTGGCTTGAGTTGTTATAGCATCCCTTATTTATCTCTCTGTCAGTTCATGGTATTTGCAAAGCTCTCCTCTAGCACCATGTTACCAGTGAATCAATGTTCTCCCCTTTTTAATTTTATTTTCTTAACATAGGCAAGAGTACAAGAAGAAAAGAATATGTAAGATAATGTAAAGTAGAATAAAGTTGCCAAGGAATTTTAAACAAGCGTAACCCATACATTCAAACCCACACATTTATCTATCTTTAGATAAACAGCTTTAAGTCCACAACTACTTTTTAAAGAACTCCCTTTCACATTCCATTAAACATGCTGAGTGTAATAGAATTTCCATTTGTCATTACATTCTTAAAACAGTTTTCTATTTACATAATTAGTTAATTTTGCCATCACTGCATATTCTGGCAGCTTATTTTTGCAATATTAAATTGCTGGGGATTCTGGTAATTTCCATTTAGAAGCAATTGTAATTCTTATACAGTTGTCATATATTTGAATAACTCTTGATATATTCTTTGAAAAATACTCTGGCATTATATTCAGAATCAATGTCCTTCTTGTCTGTTTTCTTTCCTGCTCAGCTTTCACCGTCATAGATAGTAAATGGGAACACAATATTTTGGATGAGCTTGACCTTGGTCTCCATTAAAATGTCCTTATACTTGACAATCTTTTCTAGTTCCTTCACTGCTGCCCTTCCAAGTCTCAGCCTTCTTCAAATGCAGTCTCCCTTTGAAGTAGACACTGAGCCAAGGGATGTGAAATGGGTCACACTTTTGATTTCTCCAATATTAACAATAAAATTCCATAACTCTTCTGTGGACGTGATTTTTCTTTTCTTAATATTCAGCTGCAGTCTTGCTTTGGTACTTTCCACCCTTACCAGGAGTTGTTTCAAGCCACTGCTGCTCTCCGCCAGTAGTATGGTATCATCTGCCTATCTAAAGTTAGTGAGGTTTCTTCTGTCCATTTTCACTCCTTCCTCTTGATTCTAATCCAGCTTTCCTTCTGATATGTTCTATGTACAGACTAAGAAGACAGGGAGATAAAATTCAGCTTGGTATGACACCTTTGCCTATTGGAAACCATTCTGTTTCTTCATACTCTGCCCTAATGGTCGCTTCTTTCCATGATACAGGATACACATTAGGACAAGTGAGCACACCTATTTCTTTCAGGACCATCCACAGCTTCTCAACCACACTGTCAAAGGCTTTGCTGCAATCTGTAAAGTACAGACTGGTCTTTTTCTGGAAATCTTAGGTGCACTCCAGTAGCCATGGTATGTTTGCCATATGACCTCTAGTGCCTCTTCCTTTTTGGCATCCAGCTTGGCTGTTTGGCATTTCGTGCTCCATTCAGGATAGTATTCTGGGTTGCAACACTGAGCATCGCTTTGCTTGCATGGGAGAAGAATACAATGATCCTGTAGTTGCTGTACTCTTTTGCCTCTCCTTTCTTTGAGATTCGAGCATACATCGAACATTTCCAGTCTGTGGGGCATGGTTTTCTTTTTCATTTTGGTGAACATATTTTGGTTAGGATGTGGACTGATTCATTTACTGCAGCTTAGAATAGTTCTGCTGGTATCCTGTCCACTCTGGGTGCTTTGTTCTTTGCAAGTGCTTTCCAAGCAGCTTTCACTGCACTTGCTAATATGACAGGCTCTTCTTCACAGGATTCCACCCTGAAGAAGTCTGTCATCCTTTCATTTCTTCTGTATGGTTCTGTACATTCTTTCTACCTCCTCATTTTCTCATGGTCAGATAGTATGTTCCTTTCTTGCCTTTAGCATTCCTAATCTAGGTTTCCCTTCGATATTTTGGACCTTCTGGAAGAGGTCCCTTCTTTCCCCCTTTGTTTCCCCTCTTGTGTTTCTCCCTTGTGCTCCCCCTTATTTCTGCCACCTTTTGCTTCTCACCTGTCCTTTGCAACTGCGAGTGTTTCTTCTGCATCCACATAGGCCTTTTCTTTCTTGTTGCTACAGGAATTGTCTTTGGCATTCTCCCCTAATAATGTCTCTGGCTTCAGTCTGTCGGTGAGCTTTTTTAGCTTGACTCTGATCTTTGAAATTAGGAGGCGATGGTACTTACCACAGTCTGTTCCTGGTCTTGCTTTGGCAGCAAGAATGCAGTTTCTCTACTTTCTGGTTCCAGTTGATGGATTTCTGTGTTGGCCATCTGGTGAAGTCCATGCATACAATTATCTGAATGGTGCTGCGAAGCATGTGTTTGCAACAGACAGACTGTCAGTTTCACAAAAGTCAACAAGTCGTTCCCGGCTTCCTTTCTTACCCCTGGACCAAATTTTCCTGCAAAATTTGATTCTGCTTTTTTTCCTACTTCTGTATTCCAGTCATCTACAGTTAACAGCATGTCTTGCTTTGATGTGTTAACAATTTCCTCTGGAACACAGCACGGAAGTTTTTTATTTCGTCTTCTTCAGCATCTATTGTTGGAGTGTAGACTTGAATGGTGGTTGTGTTGATAGGCTTTCTGCTATTTCTGTTTGATGTTATTCTGTCGGATTTTGCATGAAATGTGCTACGTCTTGCCTCAGTACTGGAGCCGCTCCATTTCTTCCAAGTAAAGTGCCTGGTGTTGGTCTGCTTGGAAATGTCCCCTTCCAGTGCACTTTAGTTCGCTCACACCAAGCACTGCGATGGTCACTCTCTCCATTTCTCGCTTTACAATTGCCAGTTTGCCTCGATTCGTACCTCTCACGTTCCGTGCCCCAATTGTACGCGTTGCGCAGCAGCAGACTTTCCCTTCACCTCTGCACATGTTGGCCACTACCCTTCCTTTTGCTCTGATCTAGCTGCTTCATCAGCGACAGTGCCAATTGCATTTGTTCTTTCCCCTTCCCCAGCAGCTTATAGAGTCCCCTTCCAATCTTCTGGCAGGATCTCTTGTTCATCACAGAGTTTTTGAGGTAAGAAAATTCAGAAGTGGATCACCACATCTTCCTTCTGCGCAGTACTAACCAGAGTTGGCGTGAGCACTGTTGCCGTTATGTGCAAAAGATCTTCTGTCAGGGTCACCTTCCACTGCTGCTGCTGCCCAGTAGCATTTTCCTGGCATAACAGTGTGTTCATCTTGGTGCAGAAGAAAGGTCTGTTATTTGAAGTATCATATAAACACTACTGATAATATTTATTTGAAATTTCCCAGGAAATGAGTGTTTAAAGCTATGGATAACCTCCCTAAAACACATTGCTTTAAAAATATAGACATTGAGGAGAAATTCACCATAGCTTTAACAATTACTTAAAATATTGAAATAACTGTGTTCAACTATTATAATTATTCTTGTTAGTTTCTGACCTATTATCTTAAGCCTTTGGAATTTAAATTATGTTTATTTAATTTATGGCCCCTTTTCTATAGCAATATGTACAAAAAGCAAAAACAAATGAGATACTCAAACATAAAACCACTGCAGTTGTGATCCTAAAAGCATGCTAAGGGATATATTCCTGAATAAACATGTTTAGAACTGTACTTCCAGGGTGCAGGAATTTTTAAAAAGAGCCTTACAGCACATTAAGGACAAACATGGTTATTATGGCCTACATTTTTGTGCCTCTTCACTTCATAAGAAGCATCTGGTGAAGTAACATACCTAGTCAGACCAAGCCGGGCAGAACCTAACAGGTGCTCATACCCTGCCAACTCCATTCTGCAGGCAACGAGTCTCAACAATTCTACTGCACAAATAGGGACCACCAACTGTGCAAGGAAGATTTAGCACTTCCTAGCGGAAGCAAAGAAACAAAGGGGAATTTCGGTTGTTTTGGGAAAGCGGCAGGCTGTCAAAGCTCTCTTACCAGAGCTCTGCCCACCGGCTTCCTTCCAAAGGCACCGACAGCCGCTGCCCCTGCACTGACCGGGGAAGTGGGGAAGGCCGCTCCAACCACGCAGGAGCGGGGTCACTCCGCTGCCTCCCGCCCGTCTTCTGCACCACGAATGCCGCAGATTCAACTCCTGGAATCACGGGGCGGGAGGTCGCAAAGCGCCCATCAGCCTCCTCCAACGCAGCCAGGCAGGGCTGAGGACGCGGCGGGGCGGGGCGGCTGCCTGAACGATGCTGCCGCTCCAGGTGCAACGGGGCCGGCTCGCCCGCCCGCCCTGCCGCCCGCCCGCCGGGGAGTGTGCTTGTCAGCGGCCGCCAGGCGCGAGCCAGATCCTGCAACGGCGCCCCCGAAGAGCGCGAAGCCCGCAGGCTTCCGCGACCAGGCGAGGCAACACCAGCGGCGGCTGTCAGGCCGCGGCACCGCCGCTTCCAGGACGCCCCGCCCGAGACAGGCGGCGCCGCTACCGGTCCTGCCCGACGCGGGGGCGCGAGGAGGCCAGGCCGCAGGCCGCCCCTGGAGCGCCTCTCCTCCGCGCGCAGGGCCTCCGGGCGGCGGGCCCACCGAGCCGGGCCTGGGCCGAGGCCCCTTTTCTCCCGGCCTCCACGCGCGCAGGCCCTTACCGGAGCTCGCCGCCGCCCGCTGCCTCCGTCCCGCCCTCGCGCCCGCCTCTTTCGAAGGAGCCGCCGCCGCGAAGCAGACGCGGCGCCTCTAAGGCCAGCGGTGCTGGCGGCGACGGCGACGGCGGCGACGACGACGACCAGCGGGGCGCGGGTGACTGCGCAGGCGCCGGGTAGGCAGCGCGGAGAGGCGCCGGGCGGCGCTGACGAGACCCGCCGCGGCCCGTGCGCATGCGTGGATGGCTCGGCCCGCGCGCCCGCCCGCCCGGGGAAGCGGCCCGAGAGCGCGCGCTGGCCCTGCTGCCCAGTCGGACGGGCCCCTTCCTCGCCAGGCCTCCCGCCTCGCACAGTCGCAAGCGGCCCATAGTGGAGGAGTGACTTTCCGCAGGGGTCCGCCTCCGCTTGCTGCCAGCCGTATGAACCCAGCCAGCGTATTAAAAGTGGCTTGGACAATTCCTGTGAGGCATCCCTGGGTGAATCCAGCTATGTAAATTCATTCATTCATTCATTCATTTATTTGAGTTATACCCCATGGTGTAACTTGGTGTCCTGCAACAGCAGGGGTTGGGCCTGATGGCCTTCATGGCCCCTTCCAACTCTGCCGTTCTATGATCATTCTTATCCCCACTACAACAACCTTGTAAGGCAGGCTGGGACCGGATCCTGCGACTGGCAGAAGGCACCCGGTGGGCTCCATGGCTGTGCGGGACGCAAACCCAGCGCGCCCGAGTTCCGGTCCCGTGCTCTCAACCACTGCCGCGGGCTGGCTCTCGCGAGTTCAGATAAACTTACTCACTGATCTGGATGTATGCTTGAATAACCTACTTACTTGAATTGAATGTTTTCAAGTGCTGAAATGAAGCATTGTGGTTACCGTATATACCTGAGTTTAATTTTGTGCTGCAGCTTAAATACACTGTGGGTTCCTCTGCGCTTTGCAGCGGTGCAAGCCCTTGAATAGTGAACCAGCAGCCAGACTGTTTGCCCCGTTTCTCGCGTGCACCAGCACATCTTCTTGCATCCCTGGACCATCTTTGATTGTAGTAACAGCTGCAGCGTTCAGAATCGGTAATCGTGCAACAGAGTCCTACAGTGGCTGACAGTGGAAATGCGTCGTAGGTCCATCTAAGCAAAACAGTAGCAACTCAGCAGTGAAAGAAATCTGCGACTTTTCAGTATGACCATGAGGCGCCTGCTTCGCGGCGGCGGCGGCGGCGGCTCCTTCGGAAGAGGCGGGCGCGAGGGCGGCGGCGAGCTCCGGGAAGGGCCTGCGCGGGGGGGGCCGGGAGGAAAAGGGCCTCGGCCCAGGCCCGGCCCGGTGCGCCCGCCGCCCGGAGGCCCTGCGCGTGGAGGAGAGGCGCTCCGGGGGCGGCCTGCGGCCTGGCCTCCTCGCGGCCCCGCGTCGGGCGGGACCGGTAGCGGCGCCGCCTGTCTCGGGCGGGGCGTCCTGGCAGCGGCCGCTCGGTATAACCTGATCGAAATGGCCAAGCCCTACTTTAAATGCACATTAGGCCGTTGGAGAAACTGTGGGTTTAAAATGCGACTGTCGAGGATTCCGATAGTCCCCTGTTGTTATGCAGCTGGCACGATTGCTGCTGTGCCACCAGCAGCACAAGGATGATCATTCCACACACACACACACACGGGGGGGGGGGGGCTGCAAAATCACCGGGGCTCCCAACTGCATTTGGGGAGGAAGAAGATCCGTGCCATGTGTTTGCAGAAAACACCAGTTTATCTAGAGCAATTGCATTCCCCTTGCATGGAGCCACCATTATGGTATGATGACTATACAGTCTATACAGCAATTTTAATTTTATATTTCTCTTAAATAAAGGTAATGGAATCATGGACGTTGAGTAAGTCCTGCAGGTCCTCTAATCCAACCCTGTCTTTGTTTGAAGACCTTCATCAGGTAATCACTTCTCTGGTTACCATTAGAGCTGTGTTGCCTGATCAGCCAAAATCCAGTCTTTTGTAACAGGTCCATTAAATTTAGTCATTAAGTCTTTGCCCTCTTCTGTGTAACATCTTGTTAGGTATTTGAAGTGCACGATTATGCCCCACCTCTCTAAGCTAAACCAAACCAGTTCCTTCAAATTTTCCTCTTAGGAATACTATTGAGCAGTGCTTTTTTTGTAAAAAAAAAAAAAAAGTGCCGGAACACAGGTCTTGGGGTCACACTTTTACACAATGGTGGCTGCCGGCTGAGTCAGCACACGACCACACGACCGATCCCAAGCGAGCAGCATGCAGACAAATGAGCACCACGTACAGCCCGCAGGACTACGTTATTGATTTCTGCCGCGGATCTGCTACGCCCAACAGGGCGATTCACAATCACTTGGAAAAATCCGTCAAAAAATGGTGCTGGAACGCCGTTCCGGTGCGTTCTATGACAAAAAAAGCTCTGCTATTGAGCAGAATTTCTGGCAAGATGGGTTGTAAAACATATACATGAGTGGTAACTGCAAAGGAAAAAAAGAATCCTTAGCAGTGAGGGAAAGACAATTTTGTGTTTGCTCAGACATTGACTCCACAATTCTGTGGCTGTTTCTCAGACCTGAGCCCTGCATCAAACTAAGCTTTGTTTGCATGGGACTAAGATATTCACATTATTCTGCCTTCAAGGAATGTTTCATAGATTTTGTCACAGATACAGCTGGCTGAGAAATAAAATCAGCTGACCCCATTAAACAGAGAAGAAATTTATTTAACATCATGTACGAACATGGACTTCAAATGCTTTGGATCTCCTTGTTTCCAAATACAGGTTTTCAGTCCCTTTTCATTTCCATCATTTTTTTTAAAATGACACCTTTATTTTCATTGCTTCTTCTTGGACCTGTTATTGACGAACCGTTGTCTTCAGCAGCAGTTCCAAATGCTCAGCACTGCTGCAGAATCGTTTCACTGTTTCTCCTTCCTGAATCAGAGCATTTGGAATATTGAAGCAGTATAGAGTTGCCAAAGCAAAATGCTTTAAAACATGAAGGCAATGCTAAAAACAATGACAACAAATATTAGTTTCATGGTAGAAAACCAAGATGATCCACCAGCGGTGGATCAAGCAACCCTTCTCCTACGGCCGAAAACGTCAGCACTGATTATATAATTTAATTGCATTTATATTTAAATAAATAGTTTGTTAATTTGCTTTCCTTTGAATTCAACACGGATTATAAATGCTCATCATATCAGTGAAATAGAGAAAGTTACGGAGGAAAGAAAAAATTATGCAGGCAAGAGAATTCCATTGAAAACAGAAAAAAGTTGCATGTACCATATTACTTGGAAGTTTTCGGCTTCATGCAGTTAATTTAATCGTCATTATCTCAGCTGTATCACTTTAATTGTACTCTGTTTTTCTGTTTATACATTTGTTTTAGATCTATATGAAGTGACTATTCATCCCCACACTGAATGTTGTATGATGCATTTCTAGCTGTTAAGACATTTTTGTAACCATCTGAGAGAGCACCCAACTTTAGTGGGGTTTTTTAAATCTCGGGGCAAGTATAATTTAGGTCCTGCGGGGCATGAGCCACACAACGCTTGCGTTGTATTCCTCTGATTTCAGGGAGAGAAATACGCTTATTAGATGATCCTCCCCCTGAAACAAGTGGGATCCAAAATAGTGGCTCTGAAGGCACGCCCAGGGCCAGTGCTTCTTTCGTATGTCCACGGAGGAGCTGGCCTTGGCATGAGTCGGGGGTCACGGCGAACACCGTCCAGGCCCCTCCTTGTATGTGCTTACGAGTCAAAGCAGCCTGATGGCGAAACAGCAGCCTCACGTTTTCCGGCCTGTTCAAGCAGGAGACCACCAAGCTGCGAAAATACTAGGTCAATGACAGGAAAGGGAGAATACCCCGACTGATAAAATGCCTAACCCACAATTGCCCTTTGCACACAGTAACTTGCAACCAGATCTAACTTTCTCTAAACTCATTATAGCTTCCTCTGACTATCATGGTTTTTATAAATATGCTCAAGGGCAAGCCACGCCTGTGTAGCTCATGTAACACAGCACCAGACTTTGTGACCCCGTGCCTTTCCCCGGGGGGCCATTATCACCACAACAGGC